ACTGTAGCTTGATACACACGTCCCTTCAGATTCAGGGATAAACCATTCTGACGCCACAGGTGTCTCAAGTTGGCAAATGCGGCCCCGGTCTTGCAGATTCGTGCATTCACCTCATCTGTCACACTACAATCAGAACTAATACAACTTCCAAGATACGTAAAATGCTTCACAACTTCCAGTACCTCTCGCTGGATTGTAAGTGGCGTGTTCAGTGACTGCACGTCCACGGGCATGACCTTACAATTTGTCGGTGCAAAGTACATACCAAAGGACGTGATGAATTTGGTTAGTTCATCCAAGAATACTTGCGCCTTCTCCTCTTCTTCGAACACAAAAACCTACGACTAAAAGCTATCTAGAATAGTTAGCAGATTTAATGTGTTCTAATAAATCGTTCAGTCGTAGCACCCTTTATCGGTGCCTAGCTGCCATACCACACGAAGGAGACACGAGGGCTGGGATACTACCAGGTTGCCCAGGGGAAGCCGAGAGTCAAATGGCGGGTTCGAACCGCGAATCTTCGAGTCAGTAAATTCGTGCTCTAACCCCTTGGATAATGAAGAAGCTTAAAATAAGACACATTTAAAAATGGAAACCCTACGGAGAAAAGGACACCCAAAAAGTCGAAGTTGCGAGACACATATCAGCTCATATAGGGATCTAACCTGTAGTTCCTTGAGTGTGAGTAATCGACAGGGACCAGAATGCTCTCGACGGAACTCTTCAAACTCAGCGCAAGCCCGAATGACAATGATATAAAGTGAAGAGCCACGGGTCCATTTCAGTAAGTTTTTTGCCAACTGGATGGTGTCGCAAACGACAGCGAAAGGGATGGCTAGAACGAAAAACGGAGACAGATAACGATGAGAATGAAATGTGAGGTGAATTCGGCCGTGTTGTTAGAAAAAAAGTAGCAATAAACGGGAAAAAGTATTTTGCAACATGCTCGTGATTATAAAAGTCAACAACCTTATTCTTTGGCTAAAAATTAAGTCAGCTGCATTACCGGAGCACCAGTTGGATCTCTAAATATCGAAAGCATCCACAAGAAGTGAAGGCGGTACCTTGGATAATTGAAAGAAACAATCAGAACAGAGATCAATCAAGATTTGGAATCCTCGTGTTTGAAGAAAAACTGTAAGGAAAGAATACACCACAATTTGCCGTTAAGACTCGTTCTCAGATATTGCAGGTGCAACCTAAAGGACTGAGGGGAAGCAGTACCCGTGAACATCGTGAGTTTATGCTGACAGACGTTAATGCAAACTTGTACCAAGTGGAAACTTTCAGCGCAGATAACCGCGGCCAGATTTCTACTGCAATGTAGATACTGTTAGGTAGAAATGATTAGGTGAGAGCATGACATGACAAGATGGCACCCATCCTACTTCGGCTATCTTGTGACTCATCAGGTGGGTGGGAACGGAGACCCCCCTTCTCTTGAGAACGGTTTTTCCGCGTTATTACACTCCGAGAGTTCCGTCACTCACAGATTAAGGCTATTGATTCATTCGGTGAAACGGCTCAATTGTAGATCTTTTTGGTCTGAAATGCTACCTAGTGCGCACCAACCAGCATGGAGCGGCTCCTACCTTAGAATCTATCTAGCACACCGGTACTATGCAAAAAAACGGAGTACCTTTTTACTGAGCCATCTCTTCAAAATTTTTCATCAACATCAGGCACATCAACGATGGAGCTGAAGCTGATAGCTCACTGCCGCCCAACCACAAAGTTTGAGATTAAATTTAAAGCTTCGAAATGAAGAGTGGAGAAGGAAGGGAACTGATGCTAGTCTACCACAAGTTATGTGAGGTGTCCACACTACCAATAGCTCAAGCAGACAATTTGGAAAGAAACTGATGACAGAAACGCCACTGCCCGTCATTTCTTGTGAAGTCTTGAGCCAAAGGGAGGGCCACAGGGACCTCATCCTGTACCTGTCATACCACCAACGCCGGAAGTCTTCGTTATCTCCCTTACATTCTAGTGCCAAATCTCAACATGCCACCATTCATTTCGCGCCATTCTGAAGGAGGCGCTTGTCCAGGTAGGCGGTTTCGGTGTGGCGCTGGATGTTTACCGTGACTGAATTGGTTGCTACATAGCCAGTTGCTCAGTCATCACATTTCAGGGTACCATCAAAGATAAGCTAACGAGAGTGGGATTTGACGTCGTTACACGGGACTCTGCACGCTACATTTTCCCTCAGGTGTTTGTTACCTACTGTCAGGAAGGTCAGCTTCCTGAAAGCAACCACTGAATGCCCGAAATCTACCGAGACTCTCAGCTCCGCTAGATGTTGACCAGACAGGCAACATCCCCTCAACATGTAGCGCGTCACAGCCTTGTATCAAACCCAGACAGCACGAGTCAGCTTTGATTAAGGTCAGACAACGCCCCCGCAATATGCAGCACGTCACAGCCTCGTACCAGAGCCAGACGTGCGTGTCAGCATTGGACCAAGTTCAGACAGTGTCCCTCCAATAAATAGCCTGGGACCGTTGTGCGTTCGCATTCGCACTCGCTTGTTCGGAATATAGCTGTTGTGTTCCCCCCCCCCCTGTGTGAGTCTTTTTTCTCCGGCACTAGGCACTGGAACGGGCCGGCAGCAGATACATCAGATTGGGGAATCAGCAGATGTAACACCTATCTCTTATTCTGTTATTCCGAAATGTGACCGTAATAAAACACAATGGGCGCACTTCCCACTGGCTAACAAAGAGGTTCTGCAGATGTTCTACATGAAAAACTGGCCTACAAATCAACGTACGATTCGCTTAAATGACTATCGTGCAGCCAGCGGTTGCGTACCATTTCGCAGTCGAAAGCTGTAGGAATTACTCCGATGACAAACTGTGGCAGATCGCAAGCAGAAATATGACGATTAAGTTTGGGTAAAATTCGCGTACCATCTAGAAAAATGCCCAGGCCACTATTCAAGTCGTTCAGCGGATCTTTAACGTTGACTGATTTTAACCTGTTCGTTGTCATTCGTTTCATCGGTACACACTTATGCACTCCACAGTGACTATGAGCTGCGTTATTTGGGGAAGGAATAACAGGTTGATATCAAGGTGACTGCTAACCAGTGACATGCGTTGAACCGTTTTAGAATATCCTGTGGCAGGTTGGATAGTTATGTGAATTTTGTAACGAAAAGAAACGAAACGTAACGAACGAAACGAAACGCATATATATACCTTGATGACAAACCCATTCCATTGCTTCGAAACCAAGTGTCTCATAAAGTGGGAGTGCAACGAACGAGTAGGCACTGCAGGCCAACATAGTTAACACCCACTGAAATAAGAGAAAAACGTACTGTCATGAGTAACCACTTCTCAAAGCAAGCTAAAGGGTGAATGTTATGCTGCGTAGTGCTTCGCATAGGCTCACTCAGAAACAGATATTGCAAAGCTGGAATCAGTGGAGGGATATTTGAATCACGTGGTTAACCATGAACATCTTGATGCCCTTAACAGTTTAAAGTTTACATGATAGCAGGGCGAGGTGAAAGAAAGTGAATCTTCTCATTGACGCGGGGACAGAACAAGGCTGGGAGGGGCTAGAGGACCCTCTTGACATTCTATGGTTGAGCTTAGCTTAGTGTGCATAAGAAGAACATAGTCGAGAGAGGAAGCTACGATGAGGATTATTTAAGGTCTCTCGGACGGTGGTCGTACATGATGCCGAATGCAGTCATGCTCCAAATGTTTCCGAAAATTCTAAATGAAGCACTATCATACAGCAAATATGTCAATACAATAAAGAACCGCGACCAGAACCATAATATCCCCGTTTGATACGCTTTACGTTTCTAATTCCGAATTTAAACAGCCCCATGAACAAAAAATATGTGGCAAGCTAGCAACAACAAAATGTCAAATGATCGAGTTCAGATCTTCCTCTGACGTAGGTCAGCAAGGAGGGAATTGTTGGCAAAAACTATGTGAACGGAACACACTTTGGGGATGTTTCAGGGAAAGCTTCACAAGACACGAGGATATACAAATTCGGCTGCGGTAACATTGGCTTCGGGGAGACAGTAAATAGCATCAACTGCTGTGAAGTTTCATGGGAGACTTGTTCAGACGCAGCCAAAGCATTCCGTAATCCTGTGAATTTCCCGTATCAAAGGCAGGTTATGGATGGGTGATGGAATTCGGAGCTCCATCGAAGCTGTATAGTTCTGAAGATACTTTGAATCGCGCCATGCTTACGAACTGAAGTGGTAAAACATTTCAGTCAAAAACGTTGATCGTTTTCGGGGAAAGATCGACTGTTGCATCCGTCTGTTGCATCGTGGGTAACGATTGGTTGGGCCGACGCCTTGTCTCGATAGTCTCTCAATCTGAGCAATTTGTTTGTTTAAAAAAACACTATTGGTGACCGACTGTGGTGTAATTTCTGACGCCCACTATTAGCAAATATCAACCCTTGTATTCAGATTCTTCGCACCAGACTAGGACATGATCCACTCGCTTGAATTGGAAGGATGTTGAAACATAGCTGAGTTACGTAAAAACAAAAGATAGTTTTCCGCACCTCATGAAATCAAGCTATTTCATGTAGCCTGGAACTCTCAAGGTACGCAAACGTCCAGCAACCTGGGGGTTGAGATAAAACCTTATGCTCAGACACGGACATCCAAGAAGTAGGCAACCATTCTGAAGCGCGCACTGATCGAAAACTTGCACCTTGATCGTCACATTGCTTATGGTCCAATTTTTACACCGCGATTAAACCATATCCACAACGTTGTGGTGGGCTGCCAGTCAAGTAAGAATCTCCGGTAACGAAAAGAATGATGCAGAAAAAAGTGAAATTGCGGAGATAAGTGAAGCCTAAAGCCAGAATACTCCTGAGAAAGGTATCAATTAAAAACTAACTCAGGATAATAGATGTATTAGGTTAAGGTTTGAAGTGTGCGCGTAGAAGAGGCCGGTCGATGAAGGGGTGGAAAGCTTGAAGTTGAGAAGAGCAATCCTATGATATAACAAAATAAACTGGAAACCGGTTAGAAGACAGGGACTAGCCACTTGATAGATGATGTTTCTTTGGCAGAGACGAATCTGACAGTGAAAATTACAGGGAATGACGATAGCAGTAGCAACCTCGGACCAAAGTAACAGCGACAGAAATGGCAGAGAGGTTACATTTTGGCAATAGGCGGGAGACTGTAGATTGTCAACCAGCGACGAGTTGTCACCAAGACAGATGGGTATCTTCTGTAGTGAATATAAAAGATAAAGTAGGTTGGGGAAACTGGCAGTGCTCAAGCACCGGGAGAATCTCGGAGTTGGAAAGTATGACGAGTTTAGCAGATGTAAACAACCTCGGGAATAAAAAGGAAAACTAGGTTTTGGATGGACTCGGAGCCAGCAATTGTGGTAGCACCAGGAAATATTATTGCAGAAGGGCAAAATTAAGAGTGACATGAGGGCTGAGAGAAAAAAGAATAACGACTGGGTTTATTTGAGGTGAATGATCGAGAGTAAGTGATCCAAGAAAATAGGTATAGTGTCGATTTTAGATGGTTCAATTTTCATCTCATTTGCTGACCCCGGTCCATATCCCTGATGGATTTCCATCACACGGAGACCGATGAAGCACAGAGAAGCTAACTGGGGCTTTCTAGGGTCTAAAGATACAGCGCACAGTGGAAACCAAACAATGGTGCCAACAGCTGTGCGCATTATTTCTTCAAACAACTACTTCAGATGATACTGACTCAACAAAAGTAACACCTGAACTCAATGATTAATAACAAAAACAAAAAACAGATGTAGTGAGACACGAAAACTCGTCTCCAGCTATCATAGTATATGCGGTCACATACCTCAGGGGTATTTTTACCATAAATACCAACTATTAGTTCGTGGTCACGCGGTTCTCCTTGAGCCAGATGAGTCAGTCCAGACCCTACAATGCGGATAAGCTCGTCGACCTATAAAAAGAAGAGTAATGAATGGTATGGAACATACCTGCTCGTAGGTCCACCACTCAATGGGGTCGTCGAAACTGTACCGTCGGCCCAAACATGGCTTGTGTCCTGCAAAAAGGAGGAAACAGGTACCACATACTGTTCTTGTGACTGTTGAGAAGCCCATCCGTATTTAAACGAACAAGGTTGATGATAATAGGGTTTAATCGAGTGCTAACAGCGATGAGGCCCCTGGCTATTGAAACCTGTTATAGAAGCAGTGCATACGAGCTGGCTAAGAATTGTCAAGAGAGAACCACGTCAATCAACAGAGGAGAGAGGAAGATATGAAAATTGGAGCCATAGATTTTTCCAAACAAACCGCAGGTGTCCAAAGCAACTGCTGCTAGCGATGAATGACACACAAATCCCAATTCCCCATGTATATTCTAGTCGTGTTAGCTGCATCAATTAGTGTTGTGTTACGCTGTAGAGCGAGAAAACCAGACTGCTAAAGCACATCGAGGTATATGCTAGAGCTCCTCTTAAATAGAAAATACTGCATCCACTGGTCCTAGACACCGCTGGGAAACGGAGAGTGGGCTCCCTAATTTTACCACGCACAAGCAATTCAGGATGGTGTCCTCCGTCATGACCATAGAAATCGTCTGACTTGAACAGGTGATTTGCTTGCACCTAAACCTACAGATAAATCGAGTGTTCCCGAACAGATTTGTAGAACCGACCGAGTTTCGTGTAATAATCGGGTAGACCAGCATGAGATGGGCTTGGCTGAATAGTAGGCCTAAAATGAACTATCATAAAACAATTCTTAAATAGGACGGTTAACACATGACTTGCGTGTATTTCCGATGTAATCACGCGATTCACGCTAATCGATTAATTATCCAGTGAGCGTGGATTAAAGTGGTTCCAAGTATCACTTTCTACTGATCTCCTGGCTTTGCAATAAGGCTGCGCCATTCACCTGAAGGAACCTGTTGCCACGATAATTCAGTGTTAAGTAATGCAGATAAATGAGCAAGCACCTATTCAAGGCTTACCAAATCTTTTAGATTTTATTTAAAAAAGCTACCGGTACGGCTACTCATTCGCCAGGCCCGAAAAAAAGGCAAGGATTGAGGTTCAAGCGCACTCATAAGCTGACGCCAAATGTACTCATGTGAAAGAAGAAGCAATGCTGACGGAAAGTTATGTGAGTTATACCAAGCATGCAACCCGCCGACAACATTGCGTGGGAATTCCGGACGACGCTCAAAAAGACTTCTACATAGTAGAATCAACATGTGAAAGGCTGTGCAGAACGACTGGCTTTCCGCCAAACTTGCGCAGACCAAAGTGTCCTGAAGATTGAATCGGAATTTAGCTTCAAAATGACATGTTGATGTGCAGGCATCATATGATTAAAGAGCAGGGGTTAGGTATCAAACCGTGAACTGACCGGGCTAAGCAGCATATGCAAGGTCCAGGTAGTTTTGCTTAAGCTTTGCATAAAGGATAACCCCAAAGGAAGGACTATTCGGTCGGATACTGAGGGCGTGTGAAGCCATTTCACAATTATACGACCTGAGAAAACTGAGCTGGTGAGCTATAACACCGATATGAGACACCCCAGCAATCCAGCTAATGTAGAGCAAGATGAGCAATAAGAAAGTGAATTAGAGATATCCACTAAAATTCCACTTTGACCCTAAAACTTATGTGCCATATGTGACCGAGAAAGGTTTAATAGCCGGTAAGAATTCCGCTTGACTCTAACTCAAGTCATCATAATGAGGAAACTACCAGAGTCAGCAATTAACGATTCTGGTCATCATTGTTGCCCACGAATAGTTATAAAGCCCTGTTTAATGTGTCGAACAGCCAACAGGAGAAGTGAATGTTCGGGTAATCGAAATACTCACAGGTTCGTACCAATAGATGGTCAGCCATCCTACAGTTAGGTTGCTTATCTATCTTGGGAAAAATCCAAAACTTTTCTGCTATTAAACGCACTTAACTTCCAAACATGGACTTCCAGTGCGTGTTTATTTGTGTGCGTGAGTGTCTGCTTTAGAAACACATTGCTGAGGGAATGGCGCCGACCCTCCACCCGTAGTGTGGACAGTGACAAACAAAAACAACACCAGCAGCAAACTCGATTGACCTATCATACAAGCGTAGAATAAAGCCAGTTATTTGTATGAGTTTTGAGAATTCAACTGTAAACAAGCCCAGATACGGATTTGAAGCGCCCTGACTTCCCACGGGGCTTCCTTCAAACATGTGTCCCTACATTTATGACAATGGATCATCCGTACACAACATTTTCGATGGTGAAAGTAAGTCGGCACCAAGGCGACCTGCTTGGAATACTGTCTGAAATACAGTCGGCATTCATGAACTTCAGATGATCAGAAAGGTAGTTTTCGATGACCGAGCGACATACAGATGGTATTCAGACACATGAATGTATATTCAATGCATCGATCCAGTATAGGATTCATCTTATGCCAATTCATTCCCATGTAAAACAGATACGTGGTGGAAGTAAAGTAAGAACGCATCTAGACGAAATGGTCTCCAGACCGAAATGATTAACAGCACTAGTAGAACAGAACCCGAAAAAATGCGAAAACTGCGAATAGCAGAAGACTTGTTGGGTCGGGATACAGTAGTTACTGATAATGGAAACAGTACGAGAGTGTTTTCCAGGCGGTTCGATGGGGGCAAAGATAATCTTTCTTGGTGTAGCTGGAGAAACCGAATATTATGCCAGAATCGGTGATGGCAGTGAATTACAAGACAAAACTGATAGAATCCCACCGCGAATCGCTACTTAGTGCCACTAAGACTTGCTGACCTGGTGAAACTCGGGAGGAATACCGTGGTATCATAACATATAGGGGAAATGCATCGCGGATTACCATGGTATGTGAAAGTTGTACGCAAGTTGTACTAACAGAAGTGAATAACTGAATTGGATCACTTCTGAAGCTAATCGGTCGCCGTTAAATTACTCCCATACGAGTGGTCCTGTATTAAAAACGATATTGTGCACCAATCGTGCTGCCTTGAACTGTGAGAAAACATCTACGAACGGATTATCAAGCCGAGTGAGTTGGCCAAATACTATCATACAGATTGGCCTTAAACACAAGGCTTTTGACCACCAGTGTCTAAAACGCAGCCTAAAAATTAAACGTTTCGTCAGAGGATCAGATTTTCTGGCTAGATGACGCTACTTTGACCACCCACGTTTGGACAGTTAGGTCAGATATGAGGCGATCCCAACAAATGATATTCGTTGGTGAAATCGAACTTGGGCGTCACCCTGAACCTACGCACTCTGTAATCGCGCCGAACATCTGCGAGACCCACTTTCACCATCACAGGAGTTAGTCACCACAGAATAAAGCAAGTGAGTAGTGGTCTTGCAATATTTCTTTTTCGGGAAATCGCCTATCAAGGGAACCAAAAACACTTTAATTCAACCAATAGCCAATATTCAAAAAGGACAAACAAGAGGGGACTGTGTTAAAATAACAGGAAAACCGAAAAACATGGCATCGAGTCGCTGACATGCCGAAGCGCGCATACTTACGCGACAACTCCAATCCTCTGCAGAAAAGGTCATAATAGGTTTCCATTTTGTCATCTCTTGGAAATGTATCCAGTAGAGCGGAACCACGAATACCCTTCTGAAACACGAATCAGGCACAGAAGTTAAAATGGTGAGGTTTACCAGTAAACGGCTAGTGAGAACACAACGCGATAGAAATACAATAGAGTAGAGCACGCAGAGTGTCTAATGGCCCGCTAAGGCTGCGTGCCTGTCAAATATCCACTTACAGATTAGGATTTCCGGAGTGCAGAAAACGTGGCTAGATGACTCAACACGAAATAGCAGTACGAAACCGTTTATTCTACATGGTGCGCCAACAAGGAATCACCGGTCACATTGCCAGTTGGGATAAACGCTGACCTCCAAAACGAATTTACCAGAGGAGAACGTTGGTGGCAGGACTCCATTCAAACGGATCCTTCACCGTCTGACTGTGTAATTTAAACACGGACAGATGAGCTGGCTTCTAATACAACTGGTAGCTGTATTTACAAACTAATCCATCAGCAACACAGTTCTCAGCCAACATTTGTGCACTTCGCGGACTGTGTGGCTCTAGAGCATGTAATCCTGAAAATTATTTCAGCTTCCCAAAATGAATGTTTTAATTCACCTTTGTGTGTGCAAAAACAACTTATGGCCAATATAACGGTGGCACTGTGTCTTTATTGACAACCGTATTTATAGTCCTTTTCGGAGTTGAACAGAGATTTATTTACTCTATGACAGACGGCTGCTTGATTAAACTGTATTCTATACCACTATGTTTCAGTTTTTCTAGCCCTCACAAACTTAACTATCGCTTTGATCACAAGACCACATTAGCCACTGATACCAACTAATCACATGACCTTTTTCAATGCGTAATGATTGCCCGCACTTTTCTGACCCCAGCGTACGTAGTATGAGTACGTTCTCTCAGTTTACACACCACACGAGTAACCGAAGAGCTATGATTGAAATGTCTCTGCTTGGACTTGGCACATTTTCCTTCAATTGGTAGGACTATATTTATCATACAACTTCGAAAGTTCATGTGAGATCTGATCTTTCTCCGTAACTGAACACAGGCGGCTATTTCTGAGAATGCTACCATCCAAAGAAAACCTCCATTCGATCATGCATAGAATGAGGTTCGGAGACAACTGCGCCTGAGAATATTGTAAGATTGATCACAGACAATACGGTTACCATTCCATGAGTCATTGGCGCACTCACTTGATAAGGGAAGTCATATCCCCAAAACACGGGCGTTAGAAAATTTTGATCTTACCTTTGAGTTAACCTAGTGAGGCCTATTCGCCCCCCCCCCAAAAAAAAACTATTCTTCAACCAGTGTCCACTCAGTCAGACAGTATTCAAAACCTATTTTTTGAGCCAATAGGGCACGAATAGGGAAGTTCAATTTGCTATGAACGAGATGTCAATCGGTAATGCATCAATTCGTTTGGTGTTGAACAACAGACGCGTAAGTGTCTTCCTACACACAATTTTTATCACGATGGTGTTCGTCTATGTTGATGTCACTTGATTATGAAGATGTCAGGAATTTCTAAAGTGATGAAAGTCTAGATAGTATTGTCATACGATGGCGTATCTATGTTTCGGGTAGCGAGAAGGTAAGCGTTCAGTGCCTCGCTGCCATGCCACCCGGGGGAAGGCACGAGGGCTGACTCGGTAAGTTGAGAGGCAGAGGTCGGGTTCGAACCACGGACCTTCCGGTCAGTAAATTCGTGTCCTAACCACTGAGCCATCTCGCCCCGATATTTACTAAAATGCACAGTCACTTTCCCAAACAGCTGGTGATCGAGACTAGCTGTGGAGATTATGAATAAGCAGTTTTACTCGCATTAACTGCGAAACATTCTTTCATGCTGTGCTTGGTAGGTGCATCAGTGACTTAACCAAATGTTCGGATTTAGTATACACTTGCGTGATGAGCGTAGCGCGCACTCGCTACGTTATGGTACCAGACAATCTTCGGCCGCTCTAAATAGAGACAAACCGAAACCATGAGACTATTCAGAAATTTATACGCAAAAACGACTGGTAGGTAATGGTTCAGGAGCACAACTGGTACTTCTAAAACGAAATGGTGGAAGAGACCATAGGCAGCCTATATATACCCATGTGTTTTGTCTTTGATCCAAGGAGTGCGGTACTTGATAGTAGCGGATCAAACCAAGAAAAGGGATTATGGGAAGCGCCCGATATTAGTTTTCAGTAGATCAGCACCACGGGCTTATGCAGGCAGTGACATGAACTGCAGGATTGTGTGCTCCATCTGAGGGTTAACATGAAATTGACACACGTGGATGGTGCGTGTGTTCTCGTGTGTAGTTGAAACTGCTCATTAAGGTCGCACGTCGAGAGATCTGGGTCACTTGGTACAATCTCATGTGATCTGGTGATGACCCTGGTAGACCACTAGGTTTCTAATCATGCTGGGCACATCCTCAACAGAAGTACCTCCTGCACATTATTCTCTTTCATCCAAACGCCGAAATCTCCATTAGATGTATATGGATGGACAACTTGATACCGGTTGTGCTCGTTATCCGATTTGTGAACAAACAAGACAATGAACGAGAACGAATGGTCCGAACAATGGGGTCAGTAAAATTGACAACCTTGCCTACTGAAGGTAATGAGTGCACGGGACGAAAAACAAAGTCGGTTACATGGGGCAACAGTAAAACTGGCTGTAAAAGTGGAGATCACAAACCAATAAAAGCCGCGTACGACATGCTGTTTCCGATATTGGCCTAAATACGACGGGAGATGTCCTCGGTCCGTTGTGTGCAAATATCGGATTGTTGGATGAAAATTACGACAAAAAGTAACATCCTAGTGTTATACTATGATTACACGACCGGGGCCAAAAACGGTCTGGATATCTGTGTAGGTAGTAAGTTTGAAGTCTAGAAAGCACGCGAAGATATGGGATATGATCTTTTACTCCCGACGCTTTGGTTACGAAGTTCAAGTGATATGTATCTTCCTATAAAGTTCAAGTAACACAATTCATCATCATCATCGGCATCATCATCATCAAGGACAGCGTGACATCAGTGTTCAACACCGATGCTTCACTGCCGTACAGCCATAA